TCAGATTCCTTTAGGGGGTAGCACCCCGGCTCCCAGCATTCATCATTCTGAATGCTGAGTGTGAAGAACCCATTGACTTTGACAACTGGTGATCCAGACATGATGAGTTAAGTTAGATGGATACCAGCTGGTTTGCTTCCTCTCCCTGGGTGTGACCTCCTCAGCAGGAGTTTTATGCTGGGGTCTCTGTCTCCCCCTGGAGGAGGCTACTGGGCTACCTTCCCTGGGGACCCTAAACCTGGGACTAGAGTGTATTAGAGAAGAACTGAGTGACCTCGCTTCTCCTCCCACCCTGTTCACTCTGGCTGTTCTACCTGAGTCAATAGACCAGAAGTCAGTGATGATTGCCATCTTCCCTCCACTGGACTGAGACACCTTTTCAGGTGTCCTGGGTGCAAACATCCCAAGCTAGAATTGTGGTGTCTGCCACATGGGAGGTACCACACGAGGATCATGGGACCAACAGAAGACAGGAACCCTGTCCTATTCTTTAAGCATCCTCTGCAGTACCAAGCATGGTCTTATGCCCGTAGAAAAAGACCAGTGAATACTATATTTTGTTGATGGATTGGAAGGAAGCAACCAAGTAAAGAAGCATCCTCTGATGTCAGAAGACCTGGGATTGAATCCCTGCTCTGTCACTACCTGTGTATGCTGAACTCGGTGCCTGAAACATAGTAGTTGCTTAATATGGTATGGTCTTACATACATGTTTATGTATGCATATGTGTACATGTATGTAGATATATATGTAATGCATGTATATTTGTGTTTAATTGCAGCCTTGGGGGGAGGGAGGGAGAAAAAAATAAAAAGTGCACAGCAGAGAACAAAAGAAAACTAGGAAGCACAGAAAAACTGGGTAGTTTTGAAAACAATGTATATTATTTATTATATAGATTTTTTTAAAAAATGGAAATTTTATATTAAAATTTCTATATGCTGCTGTGTACCTGGAAATGTTTTTTCCCACCCCTCTCATTTTGTATTTAAGTTTAAAATGAACAAACATTTTTAAAAAATGTTTAGGGATTGATTGTTGATTGTGACCTTGAGCAATTGCTTGACCTCACTAGGCCTCAGTTTCCCTATCTATAGAATGAGGGGTTTGGCCTACATGACTTCTGGGGTCCTTTCCAGTACTCAGTCTAGAATCCTTTGATCCTAAGAGAATTTTGTGAGACCTAACCTGGTTTTGCTCAGGGCATTAAACTCCAACCTCATTTTGAAGTGAAGCCACCTCTTGGCCCAGCAGGGCAGCCTGCCCAGCTGGCCCTGGGCCATTTTTCTGACATTTGACCCTTTCCCAGTGAATAATGCATGTGTTTCTGGGAGTGGCCTTGGGAAGGTCTTATGAAATATTCATAGCTAATTAATAGTCCTTGTTTAGTTATGGTGACAATGGCTCCTTGGATGGAGAAACTACCTGAGAGGCCTTCGGTGGATTATATATTGATGCCTGGTGTGTGTAAGTATTCCTTTGAGAAGAGGGCTGAGAAGCTCAGCTGGCTCCTGAGATTGGAATGGGGGTCTGGAGAGGGTCCAGGAGAATCAGTAGCAGTGTCTTAGCTGGTCTGATTGGGTGACTCATGGCACATTAGGATGTGGTGAGGTTGGCATGTTGTTCCTGCGGAGGTTAATAGCCTCTGATCCCTTCCCATTACTGAATGACATTCTCCAGGGGACAGACGTGGGAGAGAAATAATAGATGACATTTATATAGCCCTTTACAGTTTACAAAAGACTTTCAAATTTCTCATCCCATTAGATCTTCACAGCAGCCATGTTATTAACCAGGGCTCTTTCACAGATGAGGAAACTGAGGTTAAAACATGTGGAATGACTTACAGAAAGTTACAAAACAATAAAAAAAAATATGCCCCTGAAAATCATCAGCATTTGCTTCTGGTTGATTTTTTTTTTCCCCTTTCCAAGGAAGAATCCTCTTAGAATCAAGGGATCATAAACCAAGAACTGGCACTTGCTCTTATATTTGTATCTCTTGTACCTAGTATAGGGCCTGGCTGTGTCTAATAAATGTTTGTTTGACTAGTTGATTGTAACTTTCCTGCCTCTCTATGGTTTATTCTTCTAAATTTTTCACAATGAAGCATTCTGGGGTTCTAAACAGTGGAAATATAGAATGATTCACTTTGGCTATGTGCAAGGCTATGATGTGGTCCCAAAATCACACTTTAAAGAGAAAACCCCTCTTTGATTTTTTTTGGGAGGCTAGAAGTAGCAGGAATGTCTAGCAAGAGACCTTGTGTTTGAGAGTAATTCTGAAGCTTCTGTCTTAGTGACTTGTCCAGTGGTAGTTACATTAGAATTCAAGCCATCTAGTTGATTCCTATTTTAATTAATTGTTTTTGACAATAAACTCACTAATTTCTGCTTGCAGAAGGAGTACAAGTACTGCCAGCACCCTCTAATTTTGGTACCCTCGGATAAAGCTTCTGTTACCCTACCCTAATTATGGCCTTGCCACAGGATGATGTTAGCATCTGGGATCTCTAAGGTGACAAATCAAGGCCCCCTAAACTGGTATTTATAATATATCTTCCCAGATAAGAAACATGTAAACCTCAACAGGTTTTTGGATTAGTTTTATGGTGTGGCTCTGTAAAGAGTTTGGGTTTGAAGTTAGAAAGCCTAGAGTCAAATCCCAGCTCTTCCAGTACTCCTAGGAGTGATTACCATACTCAAATTATCTCTTGAGGCCTCACTTTCCTCATCTGTAAAATAAAGGGGATTGGACTAGGTGGTTCCTTCCTCTCTCATATTCAAGTTTCCTAAATCTAACTCTTGTACCCTCAGTTCATTCCTTAACAAAATTATGCAAGCTGCCTATCTGTTAGCATGCCCAGATTTTTTTTTTGTCTTTTTGTTTCCCCATCCCTAGCATTGAATACGTGTTTATTGAATTGAATTTGGAATCTTGGACGGAAGGAGCAGTGATAGCCAATATATTAACACAAGGATTTGAAGGTTGAATGTTCATAAAGATTTTCTGTTCAAGTCACTTAAGCAAACATTAATTAAGCAACTATTGTGTGCAAGCAACTATGCAAGGGATACTAAAACAAACTCAAAATGTTCCTACCCTCAAGGAGCTTACATTCTACTGGGAAATATGCCCTGATTGAAAAGAAACTAATGTAGCTCAGTGCTCAGAGACAGCCCAAAGGAGAAGGTAGGGAGTTTCTATTACTGGTTTTTGATGGTCTTTTGACGCTACTTTCCTGGGTTTCCTCCTACATTTCTGACTCCTTCTTCTTAGTCTTCCTTGTTGTACCACTATCCACATCCCACCTGCTACATGGGTGTATTTTCTTCAGCTCTGCCCTGGACCCTTTTTCTCCTCTTCCTATTCTCTCTCTCAGTGGTTTCATCAGCCCCCATTGCAGATGACTTTTCAGACCTATATACTCTTATCTCTTCTGAGCTTTAGTCCCACATCACCAGTTTACTGCTGGACATCTTCACTTGTCTGTCCCACAGGCAGATTAAACTAAGTATGACCAAAACAATTCATTTTATTTTATTTTTTCTAAACTCACCTTACTTGCTAACTTCCTTTGTTCTATTGAGGACACCACCATCTTTCAGTCAACCAGGTTCACAACCTGAAAGTCATCCTTACTTCCCCCATCCCAGTCAATCATTTGCCGAGACTTGTTGATTTTAACTCCACAACATCTCTTGGCTTTGTTTGGCCTTCCCCTGCCTCTCCCCCATCCTTAGTTCAGGCCCTCATTTCCTCTTGCCTACATGACTTCAATGGTCCCTGAATTGGACTCTGTCCAGTCTTTCAGTTTATCATCTATACTAAAGATGTCAAGCTCCCTGACTACTCTGTGGGTAGCCAGAACCAGAATAAAAATAATTGGGAAATGTTTAATAAAATAAATAAAAGTGGAATACAACATAGATGTTCATTTGTGGTCTTCTGAGTTGGTAAGGGCCAGAGTTCCATTTCTATTTGAGTTGAATGCCTCTGCTCTAAACACAGCTGCTGTCAAACTGATATTCCTAAAGCACCGATCCCCTCTTTAAAAACAAAAACAAAAATATCAGTGGTTCCCTATTGACTCTAGAAGAGGGGTTCTTAACCTTTTTTTTGTCATGGTCCTCTTTGGTGGTCTTGTTAAGCCCATGGGATGCCTTTTCAAAATAATGTTTTTGAATGCTTAAAACAATATATGTAGGATTACAAAGAAAACCAGTCATTGAAATTGAAATAAAGTTCTCTATCTGCATGTCTAGAGTGTGCTCTTTAATGGCCTAGGGGTTACAGCTGTACATCAGTCAATAAACATTTATTAAGCACCAAGGCTGTGTTAGGTACTGTGCTAAGCACTAGGGATTAAAAAAAAAAGGCAAAAACCAATCCTTGCCCCCCCTTCCCCCAGGAGTTCACATTCTAATGAGGAAGACAGCATGGGAACATTGTATGTATATATATATATATATATATATATATATATATATATACATACACACACACACAGATACATACATACATACATACATATATATGTGTATATATATATATACAGAGTTAATGGAACATAGTCTTAAATGAAAAGTCATGAGTGATTGGAGGAGGTTAAAGAACTGGAAAAGGTCTCCTTTAGAAGGTGAGATTTGAATTAGGTCTTGAAGGAACGCTGAGAAATAGAGAGGCAAAAGGGAGGAGGTAGATCATCCAGGCAAAAAGGCACGAAGGTGGGAGGTGGAGGATCATGTGTGGGTGAGTAGTCCAGTTTAGGTGCAGCTGGATGGTCAAGTATGTAGATGGGAATGAAGTAAAAGAAGACTGAAAAGGTAGGAAAGGGCCAGATGAGTCTAGGTCTTTCTGACTTCCAGCTTCCCATCCATGATGGGAGAGTGCCTTTAATGACCTGTTATTAGGAGGACTAGACTTTCTTTCCTAGTTTGTTTTGGTGTTTTGTCAGAGGTGGGGGTAAAGCTAATTGGTTTATGATTTTTCCTCCTAGCTGTCTTTTGGGGAGATATTGCCCTAGATGAAGAAGACCTGAAGCTATTTCATGTTGATAAAACCATCAATTCATCTAAACCTTTGATAGAGAGAACTGGACACAGCACAGGTAAGACCCAAAAGCATCTTGCCACAATAGTCTCACTTTTACCAGACCAACTTAGAGGGGAACAGAAGCCTCAGTGTCTAGAGATGAGCCTGGGAATTTGTTGGTTTTAGTTGGTTTTGCTGCCCATCCAACTGCAGAAATGTGATCTCTCAACAATTTAATTTAACAATCATTTATTAAGCATCTGCCACATATGAGACCCCATCTCTATGAAGGTTGCTTTCTAGGATGATGGCTGTTGGCACTGGGCTGGTAGCATTGCCATTCCCAAGGCTCTTGGGTTCAGAGTCCTGAGCTGACTTTATCAATGTCTGAAGGAGATGGTGGTCAAGGAGGTAGTAGTTTGATTAGCTTGGAACATGTAAACTGGCTGAACCTGTACTTGAGCCAAATTCCATTTTGGGGATCAGGTACAGAGCATAATTACATGATAAGGCACAATTATGCAAGAAGGGAATAGCTTATATCCCAGATATTATGGAAGACCATAAGTCAAGGGACAGGGATAGAGTTTGCTCAGAGGCTACAGCATGGGGAGTCCCTCCTCTCCTGGAGAAGACTCACACTTCTATATGTATGAGCAAAGCCTCATTTACCCTGTGCTAGTTGCTATGATTATTTATATATCTTTGTGAGAGGCATTTCAGAGTAAAGTCATCAGGCAATGACATTTCTCAAGTAATACCAATGTATTACTTTTGCTACATTAGTAGAGTGATAACTGTACCATTATCTGAGTCTGTGATTCTGTGAATTAGGTAACACTATTAAATACACAAGTCTGGAAGAGGGGACAGGATTAGGGCAGATCACCAATGAACCTAGAATTCCAAGTCAATAGCAAAACTCTGTTAATTAAGAAGCTTTAATTATCTTAGAGCATACACTGCTATACCCACAGATAACCACATACAGATACAGGCAGTCATACACACATATATGTCCATTCTTTCATTTCCTCATTTATATATTGAGCACAGTACCTATGAGTTCAGAAGAGGTTTGCATGGGCAGATGAGGGGACAAAACCTTGTGACCTCATGAACAAACTTCCTTCAGAGAGGTCAATAATGTTCACTGTGATTGTGGCACAATCTTTGAAAGAATCAATTTTGTTGGATTCTTTTCCATAAAAAGTCCCAAAAGATTTTTCTAAAGGGTTTTTCTGAGCTAAGTCTATGTTTTTTTTCTTATTGATATTTGCTAAGTCTTGGAGAACCAGTTCTTTTTATTGGAAAGTTTGGTTTTCCCTTCCTTTGGTGGTCTTTTTTTTTTATCATCTTAGATATCCATCTGTTTGCATTCTCGGGATGAGCAAGGATCTTTGCTGGGTCCAGTTCTTACCCTGTTATGATATTTAGTGAAAAATTCAGTTTCTTTCTCTTCCTTGGCAACTTAGTTACTTGGTGACTCCCACAGATAACTTTCACACAGACTCACAGACATAAACTGCACATTGTATAGCCCCCATATTTCCACTTTCTTCAATAGAATTAATCCGGATTTTAACTTGCTGCAACTTGCTTGTTCTATTAATATGATAAGCTCTTTCAAACCCACCACGATTCATTGTGGAGCTGTTAATGAGGCATTGATTTTACCATTGCAGTGATTAATGCGTCAGCTCTTAAAACCTATATTTTGCAACAACTGTGCCACATCAGCAGGAACTAGCCCTTGACAGCACAATGGGGAAATGCAATTTCAAAGGCATTGGGTCACAAAGATAAAAACCCTGTCTCTCGAGAAATGAAATCAGGAGGTCAGGAAGCTCAGCAGGTGAGGTATTGGGGAATCAAGGTCAAAATGTGACTAGTAGCAGCAAGACTTACTTAATGCCAATCATTCAATAAACCAATCATTTAGTCATTATTAAGTACCACTAGGCCTCTTAGTGACTGAAGCAGCCCTGGAAGATTATAAATTTCAGGGCAGGAGCTTATCTGCCTTGATAGAAGGAATTTCCTTACCTAATATTCACTATACAAATAAAATCACAGGTTTGGTTTAAAAAAAAAAAATGCCCAGCACTGTACTAGGTATTGGCAATGCAAAAAAAAAAAAAGTGAAACAGTCTCTTTTCTGAAGAAGCTTCTGTTCTAAACCAGAGAGCTTCTTAGGTTGGTTGGACTCTTTATATGTTTTCTGCCTAGGGTCAGATTTGGTTGCAGGGTATTGAGAGGTGAGTGCTCCTCAAGGAGTCAGTAAGTAGAATCAGAAGAGCCAAGTTCTTCTTTCACAAATACTCCAGCAAGGATGAAAAAAAAAAGATAGGGTCTCTATACTGAGAAATGATAAAAGCAAATCTAAGGAAAACTATAGGAAGTGCATTTTGTCAATCCAGGTTCATGCAAAGACACGGTCAGAAGCCTGCAAGGCACTAGAGAAAAGGGTCTTCACAGAATAGCCTGCCCTGGGTGTCATGGAAGCCATTTAGGGGTGAGCCAGTGGTAAGCTCAGGAGGCCTTGAGCCTGAAACTGTGTACTGGAGGCAAGAAAATGGGGACCAGAACAAGGGTCTAGTCAAGGGCACCTGATACCTATACCTGTGTTGTTCTAACTCCAAACCAGGGCTTAAGACCTGGAGGGCAATGATCAGGGGGTACCCTGGATCACTCTGGCCCAATATGAACTACTCTGGATAGACAGGTTGCCCCCATTGCAACATGCTGGCCACCCACCACTGAGGTCCTTAGAGAATACAGTGTTCAATCCCCAGACCCTAGATAGTATAGATTTCTTTCAGAAGTGGACTCCTGTTAGAGTTGTTGACCTCTGAGTTCCCTTACAGTTTAAATGTTTAGTGATTCTTGTCCTTACGGTCAGTTATCCTTGCCGTATTCTACCCTTTGAAACCTTGGGCACCTAAAGCCTTGTGTGCCAGCTGCTTTACTTAAATGGAAAGTTTTAATCAGTTTTTAAGTTTCTCACCCCAACGTTCTTTTCAGTGTTTCTCTGTTTGTATATTTGAACACATATTTTGGTTTTGATCCATTCTTTTTCCTGGCTCTGCTGTTTCTGTGGCTAAACCTCCAGGGCTCTGGTTCCCTATCAATAAATAGAAATCTCTGCAATGAGACACATCCTGCTTTCTATAAATACTATGGTCCTTCAAGATCTCAACCTTGCAAGCTACCTGATAAACTCCATTGTAATCTGAGTATATTTTAGGAAACTGGATAAGGACGATCTCTTAAGTCCTGACCCTCAACTCTCAGCCCCAGGAAGTTTCCTCTGAAAATTATAAGGTTCGCTTTTACAATGCAGTTCAGAACCAGTAGGAAGGAGGAGAGAGCTGAGAGCAGATGCCAAGGCTTGGAGCCAGATGGCAGAATAGATCTGAGAATAAGCTTCCGTGGATTGAACACAGATGGTAGGAGAGGTGATTTATGCCAGAAGAACTTAAGAGCTGCCACTTGAGGGCATTTAGAATTCAGATTAAGTGATACAGAGGTGCTAATAAAAGATTTAACACTACATTGTAGTTGAGTATAAAATGAAATAGAAGAGTGGACAGAAGCAGTGGAAACGTTTGGGGCAGCCTGCAGGAAGAGGATACCAAGTTTTGGATAGAATATTGACCATTTGGACCTTGGGTCTTGAACTATCATTTTAGGAGGAAAATTGATTGGTAAATCTGGAGCAGGTCCAGGAGGGACTATCCAGGGTGGTGAGGGAACTCTAAGCCATGTCATGCAAGAATTGGTTGAAGGAACTGAGATTGTTTAGCCTACAGAGAAGAAGGCTTTAGCAAGGGTGGGGGGATGGGGGTAGGAAGAGATAGAATTACTGTCAGTCAGTCAGTCAGCAAACATTTCTTGAGTGATTACTATGTGCCAGGCAGTGTGCTGGGAAATAAAGAAAGGCAAAACACATGGGGGAGATATCATGCAAACAATTATGTACATACAAAATATATGATGTAAATGAGAAGTAAATCTCAGAGAACAGACACTGAGGGCCTAGAAAAAGCTTCTTGCAGATGATGAGATTTGAGCTGAGTGTTGGAGGAAGTTAGGAGTTGAGAAAGGAGAACATTTTTGGCATGGGGGACGGGCCAGTGACAAAAGTGTGGAATGAAAAGATGGAGTGTTATATGAGAGGAAAATCAGGAAGGTCGGGGGATTGTAGAATGCTTAAAAAGAGGTAAAGTCTAAGACAACTCAAAAGGTGGGAGGAAGGGACCAGGTTATGAAGGTCTTTAAAAACGAAAGGATTTCATATATGATCCTGGAGACATAGGGAACCATTGAAGTTCATTGAGTAGTTGGAAGAACCCTCAAAGGCATTCTAATCTAACCTAGAATCCCTTCTAACACATCGTAATGTGCATATTAATATTCCTTCAAGTACCAACTTTCTTCTTCCTCAATCTACTCAATTTTTGTGACCTACTTTTCCATTCCATTTTAGCTAAACACAGAGATGGTCGTATCATTGACACTGCCAATGCCTAAATGTGTTCCATTTCTATGTTTATGGACTCTGAAATCCTTCATGTGATCATAGTCATTGATCATTCCATCTTTCCTTCTTCTTTAAGACTTTGTATCCCATTTTCCAAACTCACCATGATGACTACATTCAGATATTTAAAAGAACATGAGGCAGGGTGCGCAAATGCTTATGTACTTCAGAATTGGAAAGCCTGTGATTAGAAGCTCAGCCTTTTTTTCTCTAAAGAAGAGGGGCAGAGCAGCAGATTGGGCTCTCTTATCCCTTAGGGAGGGGAGGTGCCAAGCTTTCTTCAGTCACGGGCTTTCCTATGATCAAAAATGTGAGATTTGGTGCATTTGGTCCCAAAGGGCACAAGCAGGCCCAATAGTAGAAGTTAAAGGAAAACATATTTCTGTTCAATAGAAAGAACTTGCTCAGGGTTAGAGCTGCCCCCAGATAAATGTGAGCTGCTCTTGGTAGGGCAGTGAACATTCCATCACTCGAACTTGAGATCCTAACACAAGGATGACATTGGACTCCACAGGCTTGGTAGAATAGGACCT